TTGAGGGCGCGGCGGAAAGTAAAGAGATCCGGAATCATCCGGATCTCGGGGGGTAGATCGTTCCAGAGGACGGGGGCACCCACAGAGAAGGCCCTCCCCCTGGGGGTCGCCAGCCTACATTGCTTGGCCGACGGCACCCTGAGGAGGCCCACTCTGTGGGAGCGTACCGGTCTATGGGAGGGAATCTGTGGCAGAAGGCAGTCTCGGAGATAACCAGGTCCTATGCCATGGAGCACCTTAAAGGTGGTAACTAACACCTTAAAGCGCACCCGGAAGGCCACTGGTAACCAGTGCAGCTCGCGCAGCAGCGGTGTTACATGGGAGCGACGAGTCCCTCCCATGTAAAAGTTCAACCGTAGCTAGGTGCTTTGAATAAAATGTATTACATGTGTTTTCTTTATTGACTCATTTAATCTCAAATTCCTGTTTGCCTTTCAATGAAATGTGATGTCATTTATTGTTTGGCACGGAGAGAACTCTGTGCCAATTGGACATCTCCAGTGGGCCATTTTTGAAGGTAGCATTTTATGTGCATGGATATTGATGTCCTCTTTGGCTTCTGGACAGTGCGGTGGCTCAGCAGTTAAGATACTGAACTTGTCAGCTGGAAAGCTGACAGCCCAGGTTCGAGACCTCAGCACCATGCAACAGGGCGAGCTCCCGTCCTCATCCCACTTCCTGCCAACCAGCAGTTTGAATGCGAGTAGATAAATAGGTACCACTCTGATGGGAAGGTAACAGCACTCCATGATGACACACTGACCACATGACTGTGGAAATGTCTTTGAACAGCGCTGGCTCCATGGCATATTGTGGGCAATGACTAGCGGAGTTCCACAGGAACTCTTTGCCTATTTTTTTTACCTTTGGCTTCTGACACAGAAGATATCTGCGTTGATGCCCATGTTTGTTTTTTAATTATTTTTAGGAAAAGATTGTCAGTTCCTCTCTTAGTTCAACATCAGTATCTGATGGAAGACGGCATGACTCCTTGACTGTTTTAAATAGAACCTGGTTTCACCTGGCTAGAAAAGCTGCAAGAAAAGCCCCCCCCCATTTACTGTTAAACTGTATCTGGCCCATTTCTTTAGTCTCTTAAAATTTTCAATAAAACAGAGATGAGGTAGACATTTTATAGGTTAAGTGAACTTTTTCAATCATCCAAACCAGAAATTGATATCAAGAGTTTTCACTCTTTTATCTCAGACTTCTGCTTTCACATACTTTTCTCAGAAAAATGAAATAAGTACTGCTTGGGTCCTGCTTGAATTTGCCCCTTCTTGTTTTTTGCATTGTGGGGTCCGCAGTTTTGCATTTTGCCCCCCACTTCGTCCGGTCTGCAGCGCTGGCGGGGCCTCGGCCTTTGATGTGTATGTCCTCGCGCAAGCAGTCCACCCATTGCTTTTTGGGTCGTCCTTGGGGCTGTCAGCCTCTGGGCTGAGGACAAGCGGCTGCCTCCTGAAGGAAGGCTCAGCCGGGCTAGAGATGCCTTCAGCAGGTGCGGGCTACCTGCCCCTGGCCCCAGTCCTGGTTGACAAGGGAGTGGAATTCAGCCGTTGGTAATTAACAAATGGAAGCATTTCACTTTGTAAATTTGGGAGTTAAGGTGGGCATTCTTTTTTATTTTTTAATGTAATTATTGAAGAAATGTTTAAGATGAATTATACTGGAAAAGAAATGATGAATAATGAACAGGTAGGACAGAAAAAGAAAAGTCTTTTGACAGTGGTTATAAATGAATTTATATTTTACCCTCTGTCCTGGGTTATCATTTCTTTAATATACTTTTTATTGAAGATATTTTAACAAGATTAAAAACTATATAAACATTAGAAAAGAAACAAAGAAAATAAGGAAGAGTAGTGAATAATTATGAAAGAAAAAAGAACAAAAAGATAGACACCCTTCTTTCTTGATAGCCACCATTCCGTTGAAAACTTGTATTTATTACTAATATCAAAGAACTAATATTTGGCTGTACTATAAAATGGTAAAATTGTATTTGTGACCTGTGGCAATGCTCTGCCACTTCTCCCGATAGGCAGAAGCTCCACATCTAAAGAGTCAGGGAGCTTTGCCACAGAAGAAAAAATGGTAAACTCTGAAAGAGGCAAGTTGAAGCTTTATGTCCAGAAGGAAGAAGGAACAAGTTCTACTCTTCTGTCATAGGAGGGTTAGTGCTGCCACTCAAAAGATGTTTGCAGGTAATGGGAGATTCTCTGAAGGGCAGAGGAGAAGAAGAAGGGCAGTACTTACAGGAAGCCCTGGGCCAGTGGGAGGTCTACAAAATCCCTGGGGTGGAAAACCTACCTGATTCAGTCTCTGATTGTATTCTTGTGAAGCCCTTAGAGCAGGATGAGATGCAGCCGTGATTCCTTGTCACTTTCAAGCATATGGACTCCTGGTAAAGGCTGGCTTCTCCTAAATCACCTACTAATGCTTTTTTTTCTGATTTTCTCTTTTGCCTCCAAAGGCTGGAAACTGGAAGGGACCATGTTCTGCCTATTGACTATTATTTCCCACCCCAGAAGACATGCTTGATATGTGGGGACGAAGCTTCAGGATGCCACTATGGAGCTCTGACCTGTGGAAGCTGTAAAGTCTTTTTCAAAAGGGCAGCTGAAGGTAATTAATTCTTAATGTATTTGTCCATTGGCGAATGAGAATGCTAGGGTCTGTATCACTGGAAAGATCGCCTCAGACACTATTGTTGACTAAAATACTGCAGAATATGGCTTGCTTGTGTGAAGGGTCCACCATCAGAGATGGGCCCCATGGATAAGCGTCCTCTGCCTAATTGAGACCAGAGTATCTTGGATTACAGTCCGCTCCAATCGCCCGTTCTCTAGTTTTTTTCTCCCACAGATCTCCCAGGGTAGAAGGCTCTTGCCAGAGGGGCGAAAGGGGCAGATTTCCACCTCCCCCTTACTTTCCCCAGCCTTTTGTTCTTGCGGAGAAATGAGATGAATTGAGTTGGGGAAAGGACTGGAGCTGTGCTTTCATTATATCCCCCCCCCATGAAAACAGGATGATAGTTAACTAGTAAGTCATAAATTCACCATGCTTACCCCAAAGGTGATTTTACCTCATTGGCAGCTCTTAATTCAGTGATTGGTGTAGTTTTTATTCCTCGTTAAGCTGAATGGAGAGAAAGTATCTTGAGTTTTAAATTTTAAAGGAAGAGAAAGGGCCCAGCAGTTCTATGTCGATATATTTGGTAATATAAGTACTGCTATAAATCAAAGTAACACAGCTGCAATTTTCAGAGGGCATCTAACCGGCACCAGTCATAATTTTTCTCTTAACATGAACATCCACTAAAGCACTGGCTTCTGGCAATAATCAGTCATCTACTGGTTTTTATGATATCATTTAGCAAAGAAGCACTTCTTGGCCAAGCAGCCAATGCACTTGTGATTGGACGTCAGCCGTGTTCCCTCTGATATATTTTCCTTTCAATCATTAGGGAGGTTTCTGTGCTTCAATTCTGGCACAACATTTGTAACTGTGCCTCAGATACTTACCCGAAATCTGCTGGAACCATTGAGATGGATTTGCTAAAAGCTAAAAGCTCTTTGAGTTTCTGTATTTCTGGACACATCACAGATTGTGAGCATGTCAATGGCCTCTCATTTCAAACATCTGGGAGAACTATACCTGACTTGCCTCTTTGGCTATCAAAGAAGTGTACTGATTTATTTACTTAGCCTGCTTCTCCCCAGTGAAGTGGCAGAGGCCAGAGAAGGATCCTTCTGCGAGATTGGTGGAATGGCCTTGGCAGAGAGTAGCAGGGCCCCAGAGTAAAACGTGGACCATCTCAAGTAGCTAAAGACAGAGGACAGTCTGAACAGCAGTGCTTTTTTGTTCATCTAGCTTGGAGATTAAAAGTAATAATAACACAATTATCCCAGCCATATAAAAAAAAAAAACCAAACACGATCCAGGTCCAGCCCTTAATGGAACATGAGATTTACTTATTCTCTGTATCACCTGCAAACAAGACCTCTTTAGTCTCATACGTTTGCTGCTCCCAGCGGGTCTTCCTTCCTCTTTTTTGCTCCTCTATCTCCCTTTATTTAGTCAGACATCTCTTTGTGGGATCTTGTCTTTTACCAAAATCTTTCCTTGCTTGTCTCACAATGTGAGCAACAAAATTTTCTGTTTGAAAATCAGGCCTGTGTTATTTTGTTCTTAGCAGTTTAGTCTCTTCTCTGGGAACAGGAAAAGTGACGCTGGTGATGATTCCACCTTTTGGACTCAAGGCTATATTGTGCATCATTTGGCTCTGATATTATAGTGGATGTGGGTCAGATCCAGTGATTTTCTCCAGGAGTAACGAGGAATCTCCAGTTCTTCTAAAAGCCTTTTATTCTGTATTAGCATAAAGTAAAATAAATATCTCCCATATTTTGGAAATAGGGGGGAATGGAGGAATAGATTATTTGACTTTAAAAATGCTTTCTTCTTATGATGTCTTTGAGAGGAAAACCAAACTGGATTTATAAACCATTTCCTAATGACTTTCTCTTCATCTCCTATGTAACTAACAAATACTTGTACTGTTCAATCTCCGGTGCTCTTGCTTTGCAAAATTATTTCAGCCCTTTGGATGCCATTCCCTCTGCCAAAAAAAGACATAAGAACAAAAAAGGCATAATTGGTTTGCAAATGTCACATGGAAGGATTTCAGAAGAGAATTAAGAGTAAGCAGTGAGGGAAGATCCTCTGGTTAATTTGCAGATGGAAGGAAGAGCTTAGAACATTATCAGAGTTGGAAGGGACCATGGAGGTCTTCTAGTCCAACCCCCTGCTCAAGCAGGAGACAAATGGCTGTCCAGTCTCTTCTTAAAAACCTCTTTGAACTTTGAACGGTCACTAAATGAACTGTTGTAAGTCGAGAATGACCTGCAACAGAATTGGAAGGGACCTTGCAGGTCTTCTAATCCAACCTTCTGCTCAAGCAGGAGACCTTGTACCATTCCAGGTAAGTGGCTGTCCAGTCTCTTCTTAAACGACTCCAGTGATGAAGCACCCCCAACTTCTGAAGGAAAGATGTTCCATTGATTAATTGTTCTCACTGTCAAGAAATTTCTCCTTAGTTCTAGGTTGCTTTTCTCCTTGGTTAGTTTACATCTGTTGCTTCTTGTTCTGATTTCTGTTGCTTTGGGAAATAGCTTGATGCCCTCTTCTTTGTGGCAGCCCCTCAAATATTGGAACACTATTACCCAGTCCTTCTTTTTATTAGACTAGTCATACCCAATTCCTGTAACCGTTTTTCATATGTTTAGTCATCAGTCCCCTAATCATATTTGTTGCTCTTCTCTGCATTCTTTCCAGAGTCTCAACATCTTTTTTATATTGTGGCGACCAAAAATGGATGCAGTATTCCAAGTGTGGTCTTAGCAAGGCATTGTAAAGTGGTACTAATACATCACATGATCTTGATTCTATCCCTCTGAAAATACAACATAGGATTTTATTGGCTTTTGGGGTGGCTGTTGCACACTGCTGGCTCAGATTTAAGTGATCATCCACTAGGACTCCAAGTTCCCTCTCACCGTTACTGCTTAGAATAGAATAGAGCTGGAAGGGACCTTGGAGGTCTTCTAGTTCAGCCCCCTGCTCAAGCAAGAGAAACTATCCCATCTCAGACAAGTGACTGTCTAGCCTCTTTTTAAAAATCTCCAGTGATGGAGTGCTCACGATTTCTGGCGGCAAGCCGTTGATTGATTGATTTATTATATTATATTTATACCCCGCCCTTCTCCCGGAGGACTCAGGGCGGCTTACCGCCAGTTTAAAAACAGTTTGATACAAATAAAAAATACAAAATTTAAGAGAATAATTAAAAATAAATATTTAAATAGGCCGCTTCTACTAAAATTTAATTAAAACCAATTTAAAATACCCCTAGGCCAGTCCTGCCCGCTGAAACAACCAAGTCTTGAGGGCGCGGCGGAAGGAGGGGAGATCCGGAATCACCCGGATCTCTGGGGGCAGCTCGTTCCAGAGGGTGGGTGCTCCGACAGAGAAGGCTCTCCCCCTGGGGGTCGCCAGCCGGCACTGTCTGGTTGACGGCACCCTGAGNCGGTCTCGGAGGTAACCAGGTCCGATGCCATGGCGCGCTTTAAAGATGATAATCAACACCTTGAAGCGCACTCGGAAGGCCACAGGCAGCCAGTGCAGCTCGCGCAGCAGCGGCGTTACATGGGAGCGACGAGTCACTCCCATCACCGCCCGCGCGGCCGCATTCTGGACTAACTGGAGCCTCCGAGTGCTCCTCAAGGAGCTGGTTAATTGTCCTCACTGTCAGGAAGGTTCTCCTTAATTCCAGGTTGCTTCTCTCTTTGATCAGTTTCCAACCATTGTTTCTTGTCCTGCCCTCTGGTGCTTTGGAGAATAATTCTTTGTGGCAGCCCCTCAAATACTGGAATACTGCTATCATGTGTCCCCTATTTCTTCTTTTCTTTAGACTACCAAACCCAAGTCCCGCAGCTGTTCTTCGTATGTTTTAGTCTCCAGGCCTTTGATCACCTTTGTTGCTCTTCTCTGAATTTTTTCCAAACTCTGAACATCTTTTTTGTGATATGGGGACCAAAATTGGCTGCGGTATTCCAGGTGTGGTTTACTATGGTTTTATAAAGCGGTACTAATACTTCACGTGATCTTGATTCTATGCCTCTGTTTATACAATCCAGGACTGTATTAGCTTTTTTGGCAGCTGCTGCACACTGCTGGCTCATGGTCAAGTGATTGTCCACTAGGACTCCAAGGTCCCTCTCACAGTTATTGTTTTTAAGCCAGGTCTCGCCTAATCTGTACTTGTACCTCCTTTGATTTTTCCTGCATAAATGTAAAACTTTGCTTTTCTCCACATTGAAACTTATTTTGTTGGATAGGGCCCATTGTTCAAGTCTGTCAAGATCTTTTTGGATCCTGAGCTTGTCTTCTGGAGTATTAGTTACTCCTGCCAGTTTAGTGTCATCTGCAAATTTAATGAGATCCCCTTCTATTCCCTCATCTAAGTCATTAATGAAGATACTGCCCTGGGCATAAGACAGAACCTTGTGGTACCCCACTGCTTCATATGTGTGAATGTATCAGGACCACAGACACTGAAGAAGACTTGAATGAAGTGTGTCAGCCTCAAATGACCACAGCACTAGCTTCCTGAAAAATCCTGAAAGACAATGAGCTGCTTCTATAGGCTATACTCATATGAGACCTGAAGTGTCTCCTCCAAATAATTTTCAAGGTTTGCATATGTCTAGAGATATACTTCTTCGGATGTCTGACCAGAACTTTATATGTGTCTGAGCAAGTGTTAAATGTTAAATTGAAGGCCTTGGACAAAATACATTCTCTTCAAATGTTGGCTTTACTGAAATTGATTTGGATGGCAGTGATAGCATTTTCAGGGTGGTGCATCTATTTTTCAAATGGCAGTAATAGATATTACTCAGAAAATACCTGTGAATGGACTGAATGCTGACTCTCCAGCTTTTATTTGTGTCACCACCTCCACCCTTCCTTGCCTCAAAGACATGGAGTTGCACATTGTAATTGTCAAAGCATTTGATAAGCCTAATTTGGGCCTTTTATAGGATTCAAGAGTTTTCCTGGAG